TTTCCATCAACAGGAGTTTGGGTCATTACCCTCCTCCCAATGGCCCTAATGATGGCCATGTTTTCAACAGAGGCCCTCTTCAGGGCAGACTCCACCATTTTAATGAAGTCTTCTACCCTTGTGAGTAGTTGGGCCACAACATTTGTTGTTATGCCCACTGAAGCTGCAACAAAGGCTGTAGTTGTAACCTGATTAGCCTCTTTTACCTAAATTAGAAAGCTCTTCGTTCGGGCTGTAGCCCTCATAGTTACGTACTGTTTCGACGCTTTCATATAATCTTCAGTAATATTTCTCAAACTTTCAGCTTTCTGGAGAAGTGTGACTTTCTTCGTCACACTAGTTACTTTCGGGATAGCTGAGAGCTTTCGCTCTGGAGCCTGTGGACGTGCCCTCGGGCTTTATGCTACCACAGTTCGGACTCAAGTGTCACGGTTCTGAATCTAATCCCGTAAAGTGCTATGCGAGACCGATAAATCACCAAAGAGTCCAAATCCTGCAAATCGTTTTGGAAAACTGATTTTTAAGAAAGAAGTGTCAAACATGGACTGCTTTGCCAGATACAGAGCCGCCACCTAAATATTTATTTTAGGGGAATTTAGGAAACCCTGACTCGTTGCCTAAGGCCACGTGTCCGTCATCACCAAAGTTGCCTCGGCTCGGGAACTTGGGTACGATTGGGGAAGGTCAGCTATGAGCACCCCCCGCTCGCCCGATCTGAAGATCAGCCTGTACTAAGCATGATATCGAGTTTTGAAAACATATGTGTTCTTATTCCGGTTAATTAGCTAATCTTACTATGTGATGCGCACAACACACAAGTATAGACTAGGTCGCCTAATTTGGAACAAAACATCGCATATTTGTTGTTTGAAAAACGGTTTGAAGTTTGCTACTCGTAAATAGGCTAAATCACGGATTTTGATGAATTATTCCAATTCAAGCAATCCAACCTTCACCCACAGGCATTCAGGCAGTTATATCACATAAGCAGGCATTCAGGCAGTTATATCACATAAGCAAATGGTAAGCATGCTTTCATGTTAACACTCACATACATCCAAGATGCTAAAGCATAAACACTCACAGTGTACTCCGAGCCAAAACAAAGAACATATTAGTAATCAAATGTATGATCCAAGTCTATGTTAAGATGGCTAATGCATCGCAGGCAAAATGCAACTAGAATAGGCTCAGCTAATCTAAAATGGCATATGAGATGCGACAATTCGACACATGTATTCAACTTGGAACTTAAATACAATTCAGTTAGTATGATGCGCCGAGCCTGGTGCATGCAATACAGATGAATGATGCAAACATGCATAGCATAAGGATGCTAATTGAAATGTGCCCTAGAAGTAACCATCGTAAGCAGTTAAGTAAAAGGGAGAAAGAAGTGGAGGTTAGAAGACATGCATACACGCACGCACACTTATTACAAAATTCGTCCTCTCGACGGAAGGTCCGAGTAAATAATACAAATTAACTAATTAACTAACTAACTAGCTAATTAAATATTACACAACACTTAACAAATTAAACAAATTAATTAAGCTACTAAAGCAGTAAAGAGGCCTCAGGAAGAGGGACAAATGAGTGCACGCTCGGCTTCGCTCGGAAATTCATCGCCATACTTATGCTGCCTCTGTTTACACTGCTTTGCACCTCTGAACACTACGTAAGTCTCAAAGTTGCTTCTGAACTACTCCCTGAGGGTTGTGGGAGGTCACCGACCAAGAGGTGAGGCCACCGGCCATGGGGAACTGGTCATCGACCATTTGTGGGGATATCAGCCAACGATACATGGCCGGCCGGCCATCTCTTCCTGTAAAATCCTGTTTTGCTGCAGTAGAGGACAAACAGAGCATGGCAATGCATTTTTAAAGCAATGTGTGCACCACCACCCTCCTCAGCATGTTTGAGACTTAAAGGAGCATGGTTCTCGACCCTCGGGCCATCAATCACGCATTTCAATGTATGATGGCCAAAGAAGCCGAGTGTGCAAATTAATGTACAATGAATGCACATAAACACGAAAGGGGGCCCTAACCTCCATCATGGTTGATCAAGAGGCAAAGGATATATGCCTAATGCTATGCAACCTAGGCATGTAAGCAAGCAATGTGCAATAGGCATACAACCTAAACAAACAAGCATGCAAAGCATGTAACAACGATGCCAATGATGAACATGCAACAACATGTGAGACGAACATGTGACAACATGTTAAGTAACTAAAAAAAGAGAATACATGCCAAATGTATTACAACTTAAGCATGCGACAACATGTCATGGATTAAGTACACAACGAGGCACAATTAAACTAGCATGCTACAACATGCAATTTACCAAATATGCAACAAGTATGTGACAACAAACGAGGCAAGCATGCAACAACATGCGGGGATGGTCTTAAACCAAAATGGACAGCTCTCAAATAAGCTCAAATCAGTGGCCAAAGTCAAGAATTGGAGGCATAAAAATGCAAGGCAATCATGCACATGTGAGTGGTCCAACACTTAGGCAACCATGCACAATCCTCAAGCATGAGCAAGATGTGATAAATACGAGAATATGACAATGCATTAAGCTCTGAAAATATGTGAGGAATGATGTCAAATCAACCAAATAAAGCAAGTAAAGCATGTAAGAAGGTCCAAGGCCTAAGGCTAACCAAAGGGCTCAAACCATGGCCATACCAAACAAGTCCCAAAGGGTCAAAGGGACTCAAAATAGTCCCAATGCAAGTCAAGACAAGGCCAAAAACACACTTAGATGGCATCCAAATGGCCTAAGCATGGAAGCATACGCAATGACACATTCATGAGGTGTAAAACACAAACTCTTTAAGACATTAAATGAGTGATAAGTGCAAGTATTCAAGCATGAAATATGGACTGAAATAATATTCTAAGTGATGCCAAACCACTGAAATGATCCAAATAGAGCATGCTAGCAACTTGGACACTCAACGCTAATAAGCTAGATTGCATGGTGGCTATACGAAACAATGTAAGCATAACCAAAACAATGAAAAATAGAGCTTAAGCATGCTACAACAAGGCTAAAAGCTTCATGGAGTTGAGCCAAAATCATGCTAAACACATGTTACAACATGATGCATGCTAAGGCCAAATCATGGGATTACAAGACAAGTGTATGAAGCATACATGGCATATCTAAACCATCTCAAAACAGAGGTGTATCATGGAAAAACAAAGCCTAATACATACTGAAATGGAGCTAAAACAAACTAAACACACATGCTTTCACATAAGCCATTTATGCAAGCATTAAAGACAACAAGAAGAGGGGATGACCTTCTCCTTTTTAGGACCTCAAAACCACATCTCCACCACTAAAAATCCTTTGGATTTCAGTGGTAGAGAGGTCATGCGAAGACCAAAACAATGGCCAAAAGGTATGGCCTAAAACAAGGCCTAACAAGGCCTTGGAGGGAGGAGACAACCCCAAACCTCAAAATGACCTTAAACAAAGTTCTAAAGCACACAAAATCAGAACTTTTATCAGTTATAGTTGAAGCTTAAAACAATAAGCAAGAATGGCTAAAAGCCTAAGTAAGAAAGGAGTAACTAAAGTAAGGATGCTCACCCTTGTAGACCTTCTTTAGGAACAAAGCTCCGGCACCATTCTTTGGTCAAAACCAGTCCAGGAACCCTAACAACAACCTTCTAAGGCTTCAACAACCCAAGGATGGTGTAATGCCAGGTGTTCTAGTGCAAAAGTAAGACAAAACTCACTTTAGATCACAAAACAAGACCAAACTAAGTAAAATAGATACAACCCTATATCTATCCTCTCAAGAACCAATTTTTTGAACCTTGGACGAGGGAGGAGGGGCTCCCTCTTTATAGAGGCTCGAATTCTAAGGCTTCCAAGAGAAGCCAAGAAAGGAGCAAATCCCTCCATACACGTGTATGGAGGGGGGAATAATGGGTGCCAGCTGAAATATCTGTATAAAGCAGATGAATAGGGTTCGGCCAGCAAAATGGTCGATCGACCAACATAATGGCCGGTCGACCAAATATAGTGCCGACCGGCCAACATTCTTGGCTGGTGGCAAGAAAAAGAGGTCGATGGCCTCATGCCATGACCGGTGGGTTGAGGGAATGGAAAACAAGCCACCCTCTTCCCTTAGAAGCAAAAACACAAGTGTTTGGTCCATGACCAAGCACAAAACAGATAAGTTGAGAGATCTTGAGGTAAGGCGCGTTGCCGAGACCTCCGAGAACTCAAAACGAACACGAGCATGGATGATCATCGAGTGTTCAAACGATGATGTCCAAGTCTTGAGGACGGTCAAAAATGGGGTGTCTACAAAGCCCCTTGGGGAAAGGAGTGCATCTTTCCAGGATTTCGCTGGTTCTACCTTTGGGACAGCCAAGAGCATTCGCTCCGGAGCCCCTTGGGTGATGGGTGCTATCTCCACCCACTACAAGAAATTGCACTTTTGCTGACTAAAAATTTGGTTGACAAAAGTCCATTTTTAGTCGGCAAAAGTTATCCGCAACCAATTTTTTTTGTCACCACTTTGGTTGCCAATTAAGGGTCGGCAAAAGTAATTAGCGACCAAAACTTTTGTTAGTCGGGAAAAAGTTGGATTTACCAACTAAATTTTTGGTCGCTAAATATATCGTTATTGCAACTAATCCATTCAGTTGCTAAAACACTTTAGTCACTAAATATATCATTATTGTGACTAATCCATTTAGTCGCTAAAACACTTTAGTCGCAAAAAGTGACATATTCCCGACCAAATATGTTAGTCGCCAATTGTTACATTCCACGACCAAACATGTTAGTCGCCAAAAGTAATGTTTGCGCGACTAAAAGTTTAGTCAACAATAGACCTATTCACGACCAAACTCTTTGGTTGTCAAAAGTTTACCGACTAATTATTTAATCGCCAAATGTACCACTTTGCCTACCAACATTTTGGTCGGCAAAACCACACTTTGGTCACCAACATCCAACAAAATAAACTTGTAATAGAAGACAAATATTCCATCCAATCCATTCAATATAATCTATAATTAAAAAGAATTATTCAAACCAACGAAGTGTCTGAATCATGAACATTCAACGAAATACATAAATCATCCAATCCTGAACCTGTTTAATAAAAGTCAACAACTATTATAAGTTTTCATCCACAAGTAATTCCAAAGTACATATTCCTCCAATTTAAATTTTTATCCATGTGCATCTATCAAAAAATATAACTAGTCTACTGAAATATTTTCCATATACACCCATCCAAAAATATAACTACTAGTCTATCCAAAAATATAACTACTAGTCTATCGAAATATTTTTCATACACATCTATCCAAAAATATATAATACTTCCAAAAATGCTTATAACGCCAATTAGTCCTGTACAATTTAGCTTCGTGCACGAGTTCATCCATCTATACCAAAGAAAAAGAAAAAGAATGTCAAGAATTGAATAAGGTATATAATTTAAGTAAAACTTGTAAAGCTAAACTTACCTGAATAATGGACAAAAAGATAGAATTCACAATGATGCCTTGCGTCCTCTGCATTAACTAAAACAAGCAGAAAACCAAAGTTAATAACAATGTTGAGAAACCGTTAAGCAGAGAGAGAAAAGAAAGCAAAATAGCTCAAAGATCAACTCGGGGAAAAAATGAAGCTCAAGAATGCTTTAAAATAGCAACGATCTATATAATCAAATCAAGACAATATATATATATAAATTCATTTTAAACACTTATCGATAATAGTTAGGTGCTAAACAGTAAAAATTCATAAGCCCAAGCATACAAGCAACACTAGCAGCATGATTATGAGCAAAATAAAATCTTAAGCTATGAACAATAAAGTGATTTTTGGACACATCAAAAAGATTTTATTACAAATTTACATGATCCAAAGTCATCATGATCCACAATGTTAAGGTGTTCATAGGGAGCTAATAAACTACTTCCCTTTGATTGTATCGGTAAAAACACATAAATATTTTTCTTATACAATCAACTTTCAAAACCAACAGTGAATCAAATACACCCAAATTTTGACATAGAAATTCAACATTCATCAAAATTGATGAAAATGGGTAGTTCCAAACATACAGAGTGAACAAAGATTAAGAAACATACCTCCCATCTCACTAAAAAATATGATGTATGGATAAACTACATAATCTTATTTATCAAATACATGGCAATATATGTTTTCTATAACAATAGCAGATACCAAAATTTGAGCAGAATGACAAGATGTAAAATTGTAGAGCCAACCTGAAGTAGCATGAGCAAATGCCATTTGGGATTTGACATAAATACAAAATATAAAGTTCTCCAAGCTATGCAGATATTAGGGGCCATAAACCAATGTCTCTGCTGCAGATATTAACTGAGGGATTATATGGTTTGTCCAAGTTTTGTTTAAGAAATTAGATAATAAAGGCATGTCAACTAGTTAAACTGTTAAAAAGTAGGATGTGAACATATCAACAAGTCAAAATCTTAAAAGCAAGATATTGGCATAACCACTCCTAATCCTACTCATGTTTCATCTTTGCTATAAAATATTTGATATATGTGTACACTTTTCTAAATACATATTAATTGTTGAAATATTTGATCATTTTTTACTTTTTAAACTTCCATTGGACTCTATTATTTTTTAAACTTTAACTATTTTTCCTTTATAAAATCTTATAATGGACTAAACACTAATTCTTCCAGTATGTACTAGAAGAGCCTATACTACCCCAATTGGTGAAATAGCCCAGTGCAATCTAAAATAATCAGGTACTACCCTAAAAATTACCCCGAAGAGAATTCAACTCACTTCGTATCATTTCGTTACCAGTACAATAAAGTACCGGACCATTCCAATAGGTATAGAATGGGATTGACAACTATGATATCTACAGATACAAAAAATTAAAAATAAATACTAAGTGAGGAGTATCTTTGTAATTCGTAAATCCTAGGCATTATTGAGATTTCAAACATCAAAACTAATTTGCATATTATGGACGAAGGTTTCCATCACCTAAAGACAACTCAAAATAACTTTTCCAAGCCAAAAGTAGTGCCGCAACCAAACCCAACAAAGAAAATCCAATGTTCGCCAAGATGATGGTAAAATTTTTCATAAAAACTCAGCAAAAATTATGCCACTCTTGACAATATTCAGAAATGCTAGTTATATGTTAATTTAATTCTTATTGAGGCAGTCCCTTTGTATTTCAACCAAAAAAATGTGATGACAATATTCTCATTTTAAAAATTAAATGTAATGCAATATTTAGAAGTCTAATGAAAGAACTAGAAATATTAATGAACAAACAAAAAACAAAAATGTAGCTAACATGTTAGAAATGTGACATAGCAGTTACCACTTTCATATTCCATGGCCTCTTGAGTCTTAATCTTTTCAAGGACTGCCTTAATAAGATTCAGAAGCAACTTTGGTTCTTTATTTGACAATTTCTTAACGACAGGCTTCCAATTATCAAATAAACTCTGCACGTGAGTTGTACTATGACTGACTTGATAACTTTTTGAATCTGATCCATTCAACAAAAGCTGTACTAAAACAGACACTACTTCTAAGGAGTATGAAGAATATAATCGAATAAGATGTTTGCATGCCTTGGTGATTTGTTTCTTAGAACCTGAAACAGACACAGATCAATAGACAAGACAAAAAACAAAAATAAAACAACATACCAATATATTAGTTTTCTCAAAATTCCTTGATACATAGCAAGTCCAACTAATCAGATCCACAACCACAAATTCTTCCCTAGAATATGAACTCTCAATCACAGGTCTCATTAAAAAAAAGGAACAATAAAAAGACAATCAATTGGCTGCCAATTACTAACATTAAAAGACAATATGCTCATGGATGTATTCAACTCCTCTAGCTAAATTAAGGGCAATTTGCACCCAAGTAGACTACGGCAATGGGTCCTTATCAAAAAGCAACATAAGTTATACAATCATAAAATAGATTGAAATAACAAGGGATAGAATTCACACTTCATGGATGCATACGAATTTTTCACCAAAACCACGCATATCTTCCTTTCACCACAAAATAAACCGGTGCGTGCAATTTGACTGGCCAACTGAAAAGAAACAAATGAAAATGAATTCAATATAAACACATATACATATTACTTCTCTAAATCACATACTGGAATTATAAAAGCAAAAGAGAAGAGTTCCTAACAGTACACAACAAAACAAATAGACTAATACTCCAAGAAGAAGTGCTAATTCAATAGCAATTTTCAAACCATCTAGCAACAAGAAAATTCAGAATTAAAAAATTTCCCAGCAAACAAGAACAATAATGTTCAACAAAAAAATAAAAAAAGCAGAAGAAAGTTGATACTTGTCATCAAACATTTTGTGGGTACCCATTGCCCCATCAACCAGAGAATCTATTACACAATTTTGGAATCAACACATTTCATCAAACATTTGGTAGGCAACCCCACCTCCCCACACTGTGTTGTCGATACCCATTCAGTCAAAGAAAAAAGAGAGATATGCAACTATTCAATGCCCTCACCCCACTCCTCCTAATCGGCCCTCTTCCACCGTCACCTTCACCATCACATACACCCCCAACTCTTCATCCTCTTTCATCTTAACTCTATATCTCCACCACCGCCGAACCCAACATGACCACCATCTATGGTTTGTCAGCAATCAACACAGCAATCACAACGATCATATGGCCATTAACAGTGTCAAAGAACCCTCTCTAGCACCATAGTATTTACCTGAACTTTCTCTCACTCGTATTGTTTGTTATTTACAAATACACTTGACCCAAAAAATTCTAAGGTGCATAAATAGTGTTTCCCTATGAACACACACACACACACACACAGATGTACATATAAAAGGTGAATCGTTGTTGATATACCTTGGAAGCAGTGGTTGAAGAAAGGGGTTGGGTGGCAGAAGCAGAGATCCCTGGGCTTGGAGAAGGATTTGTGGGTGAAATTGATAAGATCTGCAAGACAGAAAGCACAAATATATATAATTAAACAACCATGTGCCAATGCAGATTCATTTTTCAATTCGGAATTGGACAATAATCCAATCGGATTGAAAAAGCAAGCATTTTAGTAGAAAGAAAGAAAGGAATAAAAGGAAAAGAGACAGACAGTGAGTTTAGGGGAGGCAAAAGGATCATCGTTAAGAGGGTTTTGTTTGCATGAGAAAGACCTGCATGTTTGTACAATTTTCCTTGCTGCACTTTTCAATTTCGACGAAGCTCCTCCTCCACCTAGATATTAGAGGAAGAGAGGCAGAAAGAGAGATAGAGAGAAGGCAAAATAGAGAGGACATACCTGGGGATAATGCTTCAATAGTAGATCGACAGTGGTGCTCGATGGCGATGATGCTCCTTACCTGACGATGATGGAAACAAAGCAACAGAGATTCAATATCAGAAGGAGGGCAACTGACATAAGAGAGAGAGTGTGTGTATGTGTGTGTGTGTGTGTCATAGAGTGAGAGAAATAGATGTTTTTAATAGGGGTGAGCATGGTCCGGATTGTAGATGTTTTTAAGCCCCAACTCATTTTAGTGTGTTTGAAATCCCTCCAAAATCCCTTTAAGTTCCTCACCAAATTAATTTAAAAATTCCTCCAAAATGATAATAATAATAAAAATAAATAAATAAATAAATAATAATAATAATAATAATAATAATAATAATAATAATAAATTAAACATAAACTCAAATTGGGCGGTATAAGTGTTCCCAAACTAAAAAATTGAGTTTTATTGCTGACTAAATGTGTTTTGGTCACCAAAAATGTATATTTGCCGACCAAATTAGGTAGTCACCAAAGATTAAAAATAAAATTATACTAGATATTTGGCGACTAAATTTCTTTTAGTCAGCAAAAGTTGGACATTTACCTTTATGAAATCCATACACGGGCACAGGATTTTGAAACAGCTTTATATGCTTTCACGCCAATTTGGTTCCCAAATACACGGGCACAGGTTTTAATTTTGGTTCTCAAATAAGATGGGTTTGCTCACCTGAACAGTATTTCTACTAGATTTGAATTTGTTGAACACCCTCGTACTCAGTCTTCATCTTTGGGGCTGCCACTGTTGATGACGATTGGGATGGCGGAGAGAGGGACGGAGGAAGAGAGAAGATGAAGAAAGTAATAGAGGGTTTGGGGTTCGGTCGCCGGCAAGGGTTGGGCTCCGACAATGAAGCATGGGAATGGGCTTCGATGGAAGTAGAGAGAGGGAGAGGGGGTGTGTTCAAAATTTGAAAGAGCCGTGTGTTCAAAATTTGAGTGTGTGTGTGTGTTAGAGAGAGAGAGAGAGAGAGAGAGAGAGAGAGAGAGAGAAGAGGTGTATGAACTGATGTTTGGACCAAATAGAGAGTAAGACATTGTGAGCCCTTAGATTGAATTCAATCTAATGGTATATGTTTTGACAAAGGGACCAAAGTTCCATTAGGAGTAAAAAAGTAGAGCTGTTTTGTTATATAGATGTGCAATATAAATTGGTCATTTTACACCATTCTCGACTAAATATTTATAAATCTTTTCAAAATTTGAAAAGTTTCCCTCCAAATATTTTAATTATTTGGCGACTAAACATTTTTTTAGTAGTTGAAAATAAATTTTTGGCGACCAAACTCTTGGTAGGCAAAGATAAAAAGTAATTTTTTATTTTTCATTCGACGACTAAATAATTTTAGTAGCCAAAACTAACTACACAATGACTAAAATATTTTTTAGTTGCTGAAATAATTTTTTGTTTTACATTCGGCGACTAAATAATTTTAGAAGCCAAATTAACTATACAGTGACAAAAATATTTTTGAGTCGCTGGAAATAAATTTTTGGCGACCAAACTTTTGGTCGCCAAAAATAAAAAGTAATTTTTTGTTTTTCATTCTGCAACTAAATAATTTTAGTAACCAAAACTAACTATACAACGATAAAAATATTTTTTAGTTGTTGAAAATACATTTTTGGCGACCAAACTTTTGGTCGCCAAAGATAAAAAGTAATTTTTTGCTTTTCATTCGGCGACTAAATAATTTAGTAGCCAAAACTAACTATACAGCGGCTAAAATATTTTTTAGTAGCTGAAAATAAATTTTTGGTGACCAAACTTTTAGTCGCTAAAGACATAAAATATTTTTTTATTTTTCATTTGGCAACTAAATAATTTTAGCAGCAAAAACTAACTACACAGCGACCAAAATATTTTTCAATCGCTAAAAATAAATTTTTGGCAGCCAACTTTTGGTCGCTAAAGATATAAAATATTTTTTTATTTTTTATTTGGCGACTAAATAATTTTAGTAACCAAAACCAATTATACAGCGACTAAAATATTTTTTAGTCGCTGAAAATAAATTGTTGGAAATCAAACTTTTGGTCGCTAAAGATATAAAATATTTTTTTATTTTTCATTCGGCGACTAAATAATTTTAGTAGCCAAAACTAACTATACAGTGAGTAAAATATTTTTTAGTCGCTGAAAATAAATTTTTAGCGACCAAACTTTTGGTCGCCAAAGATAAAAAATAATTTTTTGCAACAAAATTACTCTAGTGACTAATATTTTAAAATTTTAGCGACTAATATTTTAAATTGGTCCCAAAAAATACTTTTTTGCAACAAAATTACTTTAATCAGTAATAGTATTAACATTTACCTACGAATTATTTTTTTGGTTGGCAAATGTCATTTTTTTGCGACCAAAATTTTTTTAATCGGCAAAAGTGGTCGGCAAATGTGTAATTTCTTGTAGTGACCCTTGATGATTTCAGAACCACTGGAGTGTAGGTTTGTCTCTTGACAGTTGCTTCAGCATTCCTATAACAGACAAATACGTCAATAAGTTTCAGCTATATATATATTTTTTTGTTCTTCAAAAGATGGGAGGAGAAATAAGTCCCACTTGGCGTGCCAGAATTTGTAGACACAAATTTTGAAATATGAAGTGTTTCAACACAATTCAAAATTTTATGTTACAAATGTCCATTGTTTAGTTTTTGGACTAAGCAGTGTTAATTATTTGAATAATAGGTTCCTATTTCTGATCTATATTTACACATTTTATATAAATGAAACATCCGATTAATGAAGAATAAAATAAATAACAGAAGACAATTTAAGAAAAATATTTTATTGAAATTGTTATGGGTTTTGAACCCTTAAATACAAAGTACAATTCTTCGGTTTGGAACCTTTTACCTATTCATCGCCATTCTGCTTTTGTAGCGTAGTTTCTTGAGTTCTCTAGGCTTCTTTTCTTCTAGCTCTTGATTTCTTTCTCTCTCTCTCTCTGATATTTTCACTTTTTGATTTTCTGATCCTTGATCTTGTGTGATGGTCGTCGTATTTATAGAGGGTCATTCAGGTGATAAGAATGCCTCATCCTCAATCTGAATTTCAAACTGAACGATAGTGCCATTTGAATTTTGAATGATAGCGCTATATGATTAATCGTATATCTGATTAACAGGATTGATCTTCGGGGTTTCATCTTGTGTGGTGTCCTTGTTGTAGGCTCTACATGTGTCATCTTTTGTAGGCTCCACGTGTCACTTGAGCATCTTGAATAATGACGTTGTTTTATTTATGTACTTCAACGGATCATATTGATACTTTTTAGGAATTGATTACCTACAACATTCCTATCATAGGCTCTATGTGTGTCATTGACTGTATTTGAAATTTAAACATAAATTTGATTAAAATTTATGTGCCAACAGGTGCCCGCAGGGAACGCGATACGACTCTCACGGAGAGAGAAAAGCCACAGGAGCTGGTCGGTGGATGAGTTGAATTGGCTAATCAGTAGAGGAAGGGGAAGGAGAAGGTTGAGAATGGGAATGAAGTGCTTGATGTTGTTGTTAGAGGCTTCAATTGCTCCTTTTGTAAGCAATTACCTGAGAGGCCTGTTTTGGTATTGCTCTCTTTCTTTTTCATTTTTAGTTTGTGTAAATATATTTGTGAATTTGTGTACGTCTTGTTCTTTGTTGTTTTTGATTAGATCATGAGTCTCTCTTTCTTTAATCATTTGCATGTGTGTTGCTTTCTATTGACATTTTTATTTGCTTCTGCTTGATTTAGGCATAATTTCAATAAATTTCTGATAATTTGCAGTTGCGTTTACTGTCTGCATTTTGTTCGGCTCATTAGTAGCATACTTGTTCGATTGTAGATACATTTCATTCATAGATGGCAGTTAATTTTTGAGCATTTGGGTAATTGATATCCAATCTTTTTTGGTTTTATATGTATAGAGCATTTATAAAAATAAAAAAAAAAATCTTAGATCAATTTAATAATTGAAGTCACATATTTACATATATATTTTTTCTCAAAAAAATGAATGGCAAGTATGATTTTAAGAGTAAATCATCAAAAAAAAAATTTTTTTAAAACAAATGTAATTAAATCATGTAGCTGTAATTATTAGAATGATTCAATTTTTTTATTTTTTTTATTTTATGAATGATTTATACGGATAAAACTAAAAAAAATGTTTTGATTGGATCATCCGAACCAAGAATGTGACGTCAACAAATCCCGTTTTTGTTATATACCCTTTCTCACTTTATTTGAAAAATAACTATTTTCATGGATTTATGGAAGGTTAACTAGGGTTCACAGGTTTGTCAAATAAATTGCATATTGTAGAATTTAGTTTTTATGAAGCCAACGGGAGGTGGTTGCCTGTTGTGAGAGGTGGTGGTTGGAGGAGGCTACTGGCAACAGTGGCTGGAGTAGGTGGAAAGAATGGAAAATTATTATTTTATTTTTTCTAAAGTAAGTTGAAATTTTTATTGTGGTTACAATAATTTTGTAAATTATGTAAATTGTTTACGATCTTTTGAAAATGAAAATAGACACTAAATGTATTTTTTTATTTTTTTTTTAAATATAAACTGACAATGTACCTCAGTTATCCCTTTTATTATTTTCAATTCTCTGAATTGAATTATAAAAATTTTCTTGGCAAATACAGGATCAGGTCATGCATCGCCTTCAATCATAGACAATCCAATTGAAATGGGTGCTTGCTCTCAACAAGGGCCTGATAATGGAAGCTCTTCAGTGAACAAAAACAAAATATACTGACTGCAACAGTATGCAAGTAGATGAAACCCAAGAAAGCTAGTTTGCAAAAATATTTTTCGAAGCTGTCACGCGAATAACCGGCTTCGATGGGAGGGACATCCCTACTTGAAATGGTTTGTGATGTAGAATCTGTTTGTATGATGAGAGAGAACTTTCTTCAAAGTTGTCATGAAGAATAGGGTTTAGCAGTAAGGACATCCCAGCTTGAAATGGTTTGTGATGTAGAATCTGTAGTTATGTATGATGTGAGAGAACTTTCTTCGAATGACCAATTGCAAAAAATCGATATGTTGCTAGATAATGAGAAATAAAAATAAAATTTCGAAAAAAGCCCGTATTGTGCTCTGAAGGCTTATTGTATAGCAGTATTTTTGAGGTCTGGAAAAGGTAGTT